GCTGACAAACCAACCGACACCGGAAGGATAGAAAGCTTTGTTGGCTTTGGCGAGATCCGATCTAAATTCGTCGCGCGGACCATGCGAATGTGAAGTGGCACCACTTTGTAGGCTCACCACTGTCGCCCGACGAATAAGTCTGTGTACTAGGCTCTTGTAATTAGGTCTATCATTATCTACATCTATCTTCTGTCTTTCCGCCCAAAAGTGACAAGTGACGCGCTCACCACGCGAGCGGTCTGGGGGCATTTTCAAATCCCTGGTCGTGAAGCAGGGTCAACCGTCCGTTCGAACTGTTCGAACGAAGGGGTCGCATTTTGGTCGGAAGGGGGTCGCAATTTCGAGGACTGCCAGCCACAGGCGCGTGCGTGGCGTATCCGAGGGCAAGAATTGTTTGTGCAGACCGCATTAGATTCGATTAATGCACAGAGAGACAGTTTTAGGCAAATTACGGTGTTTTCTTGAGGAATAGAGAACAGTTGAATGCATCCCTATGAAAGGTTTGACTTCTCGGGGCTGAAATTAAAGTTCTTCGGGACCTAATTTTCTGAGGACGATTCTTCCAGACAACGGTAAAACATATAAGAAAGCAGAAATCTCGTAGTCTTCAAAAATGTCTTCGCCCCTCAACAAGTTCTTTGAAGGAAGTTATTATTGCTGAAAGCTCAAAAACTCGCATGTGCTGCTCAAAAACCTATGGGAACAAAATGTTCGAACGTGTGATTTTCTCGGAAAATGGATTTTGAAAAACGGTTTGGTGCTTGTCAGAAAGAGCAAATCCTGTACTTTCACCCATGAAAAAAGTGCATCACAGAAATGAAAATGAAGTGAGTTATGCCCGCTTAAAGCCCAAAAACTCGCGATTTCAAAAAAAGTGTTCGGCCCAAAATGTTCGAACGTGTGATTTTCTCGAAAAATGAACTTTGAAAAACGGTTTGGGGCTTGTTAGAAGAGCAAATCCTGTACTTTCACCCCATGAAAAAAGTGCATCACAGAAATGAAAATGAAGTGAGTTATGGTCGCTGAAAGCCCAAAAACTCGCTTTTGCACGAAAAATGTTCGAACGGGACAATTTTTTGAAAAAGGGGACAATCACTAAACTTTTTATACTATTTTGTTAGAGAAATATTTGAAGTTTCTGAAACTTTTTACAGATTTCCAAAATGTCGCATACGAAAGATTTTATGGGCCTTCAAAGTTGAAGGTGCGCCTTCTTAGAATTTTGGGTTTTCCACTTCTAACAGAAGTACTTTCCGGAGAGTTAGGCAATCCTTGTAGTTTTCTGGAAGCGCACCTCAGGCACAATCAAAATCTACCTCAACAAGTCAAAAAATACGTCCCAAGAAAGTTATTCCCCTCTAAAATTTTTTCTTCGCCGCGTCCCGTTCTTCCAGCGCCCGGGTGATACCTGCCGCGCTCTCCAAGCCTGACGCCCGCATGCAGCGCTTCGGCTGGCGCAAACGGATCTCATGTCTGCACTCTTACTTAACAAAACCAGGGTTGAAAACTGGACCCGCCTCGGACTTCTAGGGTCGAACAAAATCCGCAATGTTCGAAACGTACGTTACACCTGCGTGAAATCCGCCCGACCAACCAAACTTCCTCCCTGCCGTGTCGTTAATTGGCTACCGAGACATTCTTGAAGCATTAAGTAAACACGACTATATCGGCTTGGTCCCCGCAAGTCATTGTAGTCGGCCACATCCTTTTTATTTAGATAAAATAAAATAAAATAAAATAATTTTTTGAAGTTAGCGAAGTTACCCCTTTACTGTTACGTGTTTGATTCGACATCGAATAAATCCAAGTCAAGCGACATTCACTTGTTTCTGGCGCTAGGAGTTGAAGGACTGAAGCCTTGATGTTGATCAATCCCTTTTGGATGCGCATTCTACTTCCATTCAGCTTCGTAGTGGCATTTAAATGCAGGCATAGTCCATATTTGCGTGGACGTGCGTGTTTTCTCCTTCCAGAGAAAGCAGCTGACACCAACCAACCGACACCGGAAGGATAGAAAGCTTTGTTGGCTTTGGCGAGATCCGATCTAAATTCGTCGCGCGGACCATGCGAATGTGAAGTGGCACCACTTTGTAGGCTCACCACTGTCGCCCGACGAATAAGTCTGTGTACTAGGCTCTTGTAATTAGGTCTATCATTATCTACATCTATCTTTCTGTCTTCCGCCCAAGTAGTGACAAGTGGCGCGCTTACCACGCGAGCGGTCCGGGGATCAAATCCTGGGTCGTGAGTCGCCCGGGCCAACCAAGCCTTCCATCCCTCCGGGGTCGGTTAATTGGTACCAGACTTGTCTGGGAGGATAAAAACACTGACTTGTACATCGGCTGGCCCCGCAAGTCATTGTATAGGCCACATCGCATTCAAACGCCACTACGAATGTACAAATGGAAGTAGAATGCGTGCCGCATCCCAAAAAGGGATTGATCAACGGCAAATGCTTTATCCTTTATCCTTATCTATCTGTCTATCTTATTGGTTTGAATACCAATAACCCTGGTTCCCATTTGTTAACTTTATAGTATTTCCATCACCCAAGAAATTCTGCATGACAAAAAGCTCACCCGACAACGATTCCTTGCCTGACTTCGTTGAGTGTAGAAGCAGTATAATTGCAGGTGACGTGAAAGAAGAGGTCATCCTTGGTGGTAACGTCATGAGGCAGGACTCGATCGTTTGACATCACTATCACAGCTGAGACCATCTTGTCCTGCAATAGTCACAATTCACACTAAGTTCTAGAAACGTGCATAATGGACAAATAAGGAGCCATTTCTTGCTATATGGCTTTTCTTAGACCACTTCCGAGCATTCACTATGAACATCAGTAGGACAGATAGGAAATAAACATTGCAAAGTAAATTCCATGTTCGGTTTTCCTTGGAACCTGGGCATTTTGGATATTGTGTTGTTTCTTCTGTGCCATACAGGTTGTTATGGTGGAACACGTTTATTGGTCAACGTTTCGACAATTCGTCGTCTTCAGGACCTGAAACTGGTTCGAAGTCCTAGCTCTGTAGCTCACCCGGTGAAGCGCCTAATCTTACTAAGTTCCCAGAAAGCTTAAATAGTACCAACTAAACGATCCCAGATCGTTCATTTTGGCCCATATGGCCATTCATGAATGAATGAATGCATGGCCATTACCAAGGAATTCTTGCCATTCATTCTTTTATTTGGACTGTAAGATCACCTCTGTCGTGAAAGCCTCACGATGCCATGCAACAGTGCCACACAAGCCGGATTTAACAGTCCGGTGAGTGACCGCTACCGTAATCCACGTTGGCACTGGAGCGCGCAGCTACACTACTGATGTGTACCCACACGTTTCAGCACCAACGTGAGAGGGTATAGCGCCTCGCTGGTGAGTGCACAATACCCCCTCCACCACAGCCGCCCTTGGGCGACTATCCAAAAATACACGCAGCACTCGCCTCGCCGCTTGCGCGGCGAGGCAAGCGGCTGCGCGCGCTTCGCGCGCGGGGCGCCGGCTAAACCACTTGCCGGCACATTTCATCCTACCGGCCATAGTCCTCCTATATACCAGCCCAGCATGGACTCCGTACAAGAGCCAGTTCTATCACGCCCATTCTGTCGCCGTAGAGTGCGCGGAAAAACGACAAAAGGGCACGTCGAATTCTAATCGATGACACGTGACGTTGCGCGCCAACCAGTCACGTGTTACGGTTGCGGTCACTCACCGGACTTTGAAATCCCACTAATCAGTGCCACCAGTGGCCCATCAATACCGTTACGTCAACTTCTAAGGCGGAGCCTAATTGGCCAGTATAAAAGCCGCAGTTCGGCACATCCGGCGGTCTTGTCTCCTTCAGTATCCCATTTAGTTCACTTCTCTTTCTCTTCAGTTCTGGAATCCTAGTTTGATGTATTCTATACGGTTCAAAGCTGGGCGGCTCAGTATCTTAAGCTTTACAAGTTATTTGTCGAAGGTCACGCATTTATTTGGTTAAATAATAAATATAGTTCAATAAAGTCGTGCTACTGTCGCTGGGATTCCAGTCAACCTCACACGACGCATAGGATGCTGACTGTCCAAATGGTGTCTCATTTTATTTGCTCACTAACGAGAGGCTGCTAAAAACTGGTGGACTCACACAGGTTAGTTCGTTCGCTGGGATCGTTTATTTTGTATTATTTCGCGTTAGGGAACTCAGCAAGATTAGGCGCTTTACCGGGTGAGCTACAGAGCTAGGACTTCGAACCAGTTTCAGGTCCTGAAGACGACGATTTGTCGAAACGTTGACCAATAAACGTGTTCCACCATAACAACCTGTATGGCACAGAAGAAGCAACTGCAAAGTAAGTTAAAGGAATCCTCCTCGGAAAACCTTGGCACCATGCTCGCCATCAATCGGTATCTTACCCCCGTGGTCGGTCCATGAGGAAAGCATAAGAACGAATAAATAAACTTCGTTTTTGATACTTTGACCCAGTATCTCAAGACCAAGTTGAAATTGTGTCGTGACAAAGCATGGCTAAATATACGGGGGAGAATCTAGACGAGGATGTACTGTATTGTGAGAACCGATATGAATTCAGGCGCAGGCAGTTCTTCCAATCAGGCTGTGTCGTTCGCATCTTCAGAGGGAAAATTTGAATTTGCATCGGAGCGGAACAAAGAGAATGTGCCCAAGTGGACGGTTTGGAAGGAGAAAGGTACTAAGGTTAAGTCAAAGCGCCCTTGGCCACAACAGGGATCGGCTGCTG